CAGGGCTCCTCCCTCAGGACACCCCTCAGGGCTCCTCCCTCAGGACACCCCTCAGGACACCCCTCCGGGCTCCTCCCTCAGGACACCCCTCAGTTCTCCACCCCAGAATACCCCTCAGGGCTCCTCCCTCAGGGGACCCCTCAGGACACCCCTCAGTTCTCCACCTCAGGACACCTCTAGGCCTCCCCTCAGTTTCCCCTCCCCCCAACCCCACCAGGGTTCTCTCCCACTCGCCTCCTCAGAAATCAAGATGAAGGCCACAGTCTAGTCTGCTGAGCCCATCTGAGACTTCGGACACAAGCCACACAAGTTTAGGGGATCCCGGGGACTACCCTCTCACCTCAGGCCAGCTGGTAACAAATGCAGGGTCCCCTCAGACCGCAGACTCCCTCAGGTTCGCACGCTGCTTCCCAGACTGTGCTTACAATGACGCAGTCAGGCCGCGGGTGCATCTGCCTCCTTTTGGGGTCCAGTGAATGTTCTTCCATCTTTAGTGGCACCAGAGGTGTCCCTAACAGACTGCAGTACGTGGAGATTAAATATAACAAAGATTTGTATCCTGACAACCTTTTCCTATGTTGCAGTTTCTGAATAATGAGAACGAGGCATTTTTCACTCGTTTCATTTAGTATGAGGTAATTTAGCTTTTATGATCAGCCATAAAACTTCAAGCATAAAACTTAAGAGGTTTTATTCAGGACATGGCTGTCTTAGCCCCTGGAGTCTGGGTAATGTTTTGCTGTCCCAAAAGGATTTCCATGCAGCCCAGAGGCAACTTAGAAGCAGTGACGCCCAGCCAGCCAGCAGGCAGAGAGGCGCAACAGATGGGGACCAGGAGAGCCCCAGGTTGGAGCTCCTGTGAGCTCAGACTGCCGCTCCCTCCTGGCCGGGACCTGTGTCAGTACACCCAGCGGCCAAGGTTTACTGGGTCACATTACATGGGCAGGTTATTACTTGACCTGACTTTTACCCTGGTGTTTGCATCCATTGCTGGGTCTCCCTGGAGGGAGGGGTCCAAGTCTCAGCTTCTTTTGGTCTTTCTGGTGACCAGCCCTTCTGGCACGATGGGGTGTCCACTCGGAGTCAGTCACCTCATTACTCGTTAGCACAAAGTGGCAGGTGTGGTCGGAGCATCCCACCCTGAGTAACAGACTTTTTTCAGTAGAAGAACTGGGGTACAGGCCAGAGGTGGGTGGGTGGGTGAGATGACTCACCAGAGACGGAGTGGGGAGCAGAACAGGCGGACCCACTGAAACACACTGCTGAGGGGAGCAGCGGGGAGACAGGAGAGGTGTGCTGGGCCCGGTGGGTCACTCCCTGGCCGGGGATCGAACTCGTGCTGCAGGGGCTGTGGAGAGCTGCATGGTGCTGCTCTTTGCCCCCTTGTGCCCACAACTTGCTGTCCTACCAAAGTGACCTCTGTGGTGTTCCCTGCCATGCCAGGCGTAGTCACCCCTTGAGCAGAATGATCTGGCTTCTGTCCACCTCCCGACCCCCAAGTCTGTGTGTCCCAGCTTGCGTCTCGCCTGCGACGCACCCCCTTACAACTTCTTCTTTGAACTGAATTCTCCTGTTTCTGGAAGCATCACCGTGTCCAGCCATGTCCCCCCTTGTCCTGCACATTCACTTTCTACAAGCACGTGAGTCCTTATGTCTTCTTAGTTCAGCTGGAAACGTCTTCCCAGCAACGCCACCGCGGGGTGTCTGGACGCTGTGTGGAAAGTGCCTGGTGAAGTAAAGTAAGACCCTCTCTTTCAGTTCAACTTTGGAGACGTCTTTGTGCACCAGGCCATCCACACCATCGAGTACTGCCTGGGCTGCATCTCGAACACGGCCTCCTACCTCCGCCTCTGGGCACTCAGCCTGGCCCACGCTCGTGAGTGAGCCCCGGGGTGTCGGTCAGATCAGCGTCCTGGGCTCAGGGGCTCCGGGGGGCTGCTTCTGCTATGCTTCCCCCAAACAGTGGCAGCTTTGGGCAGGGATCTGACCGCATTGCTGGGGTGTCACCCTCTCAATGGCTCCCCTGTTGCTGCTCTAACAAATGGCTACATGTTCTACTGTTTAAAAAATACAGATTTGCAGGGCCCTCCCTGGTGGCACACTGGGTTAAAGCACAGCTCGATGAAGCTGTCTGTGGCCACTGCAGCATGAGTTCAATCCCCGGCCAGGGAGCTGACCCACAGGGAGCAGCAGACCTCTCCTGTCTCCCCGCTGCTCCCCTCAGCAGTGTGTTTCAGTCAGTCTGCCGGTTCTGCTTCCCTGTCTCTGGGGAATCCTCTCATCCCCTCATCTCTGGCCTGTACCCCAGTCTTTGTATGCATAAATAAATACATCTTTAAAAATATACAGGTTCGCTACTTTACAGCTCTGGGGGCCAGACATTCTAAAACCAAGATGTCAGCAGGACCTTGTTCTTCTGGGAGCCCTGGGGAGTCCGCTTCCCGGCCCTGTCTGGCTCTCGGAGGCTGCCTGCCTCCCTGGCTGTGGCTCCATCATGCATCACCCCACCTGCCATCAGACCTCCTCCTCCGAGTGAGGACTCACCAGAGACAGGGTGGGGAGCAGAACAGGCAGATCCACAGAAACCCACTGCCCAGGGGAGCAGCGGGGAGACAGGAGAGGTCTGCTGCGCCCTGTGTCACTCCCCGGCGGGGATGGAACGCAGGCCGCGGCCTGAGAGTGCTGAGTTTATCCCTAGGCACCAGGGAGGCCCTGTGCCCTGCTTCTCTGTCACAGCTTCATGTCACCAGGATTTGCCCCCTTGCCTGGTAGCTAGTTTGCTCACTGTAACTGGTGAATAATATGCCACCAGTGGGCCCTCCCTGGTGGCGCAACGGGTCAGGACACAGCGCTGCAAGCTGGCCACAGCCACTTCAGTGCGAGTTCGATCCCCGTCCCGGAGATGCCCACGTGGCATGGTGGCAGACCTCTCCTGACCCGCCCGCTGCTCCCCTCAGCTGTGTACTTCCTTGATCTGCCTGTTCTGCTCCCCACTCTGCCTCTGGTGAATCCTCTCACTGCCCCTGCACCTCTGGCCTGTGCCCCAGTTCTGTATGCACAAATAAATAAATCTTAGGGGAACAAAATGCCACCAGTGACAGATACGCCGTGTGATTGTCCCTGGGTGCACACTCCTGCGCTGGGAGCAGAGCTTCTACCCACGATCTGCTGGGGGCGCCCCAGGGTGCGCTGGTCCCCACCTGCAGTGGGAGCTGCCGGGCACACCATGGGCCCGTGCAGGCCAGCCTCACCTTTGCAGACGCCCGTGTTGGGAATGTCTCTCCGCCTCTGCAGAGCTGTCCGAGGTGCTCTGGACCATGGTGATGAGCATCGGCTTCCGCATAAAGGGCTGGGGAGGCCTCGTCGGCGTCTTCGTCATCTTCGCCTGTTTTGCCGTCCTGACGGTCGCCATCCTCCTCATCATGGAGGGCCTCTCGGCGTTCCTGCACGCGCTGCGCCTGCACTGGTAAGGGCGGGTGCTCGCGGGGGGCCGGCGGAGGGTGGGCGGGGCGGGGCGGGGCACCCTCATTATCTGTCGCTGCAGTACCAAATGCACGCACAGCCGTTCTCCAGTGAGTTTTTCTGTCAGTGCATTTCACTGCAACCTGATAGGCAATAATCTCCCCCCTCCACAACTTTCAACCAACTGACAGTTGTCAGGGACCCAGTTTCGTTAAACGTTGCTTTGCTTAAAGGTAAGTTTCCTTCTTTCTTTATTTTTTTTATTATAATAGTTTGTTTTTACATCTCTCTGTGCCTTTTCCCATCTCAGTTGTCATCCCCGCAGGTTTCCCATCACCAAATCACCCGTGTGCCACCACCATAATCCCGTGTATTTCCCTCCCTTCCCCCCTCCCCATCACCAAATCCCCTGTGTGCCATCACCATAGTCCTCCCCACCCCCGTTTTTGATCCCATTCCCCACTCCACCCCTTTAAAACGTCTCTGGTATATAGTTGTTCATTATTATTATTATTTCCTCCCCTGGTCCTTTATACTCCTGCTATGAGTGAAACCATCTGGTATTTTTCCTTTCCTTTCTGGCTTATCTCACAAAGCATGATCTTTTCCAGCTCCATCCGCATTGCGGCAAATGGCATGAGTTTATCTTTTTTGATCGCTGAGTAATATTCCATGTGTAGATGTACCCCTTCTTTTTAGTCCAGTCCTCTGCAAAGTTCCCTTCTTTTTAAAAGTTACTATTTTTTGGTCAAACATTGGCGTGCAACACCACGTCTGATGTAGGGGTCAGGGATCGCACCTCTTCACATAGATGTCACCCCACCACTGCAGCACCCACACTCCTCCAGTAGATGACAGTAAAACCGCAGTGTCCCAGGAGCTGGGGATGATGTCGAGGGAGGACGTGCCAGGACACGTAGTGTCTGGCCCATAACGAAACGCTCGTTCCTTTTGCTTCTCTCTAAATATTCACTTGTTGTTACAACTGACTCCTGCAAGGGTTGGGGGGGGGTGACAGGCCTGGGGGGCTCCCCAAGGGAGCCCTGAGCAGGCCTGGCCCGTCTGCCCCCAGACCCTCCACAAAGGGGAGCAGGAGGAGGCCCCTGTGAAGGAGGCCTCTTGACATCTCACCTGTGTCCTGAGTGACTGGTCATCACCGCCAAGCACGTTCATAGACACATCGGTTTAAGTTTCCGTTTTGGTCCCAAATGGCGTTTCAGCCACCAGTGGCGCTTGTCTCCTGCAGTGCAGTCGGCGTCGGCCTTCGCGGCCGTTCCCTGCCGCCACTGTCCCTGCCGACCTTCTCAAGCAGCGGGGTCACAGCGTGGTCTCCCGGGTCCTCAGGGAAACGAACGTCACATACGCAAACAAATCGCACATGGGGTCCATGCTGTGAGTTAGAAAACGAGAATTTGAGCTTCCAGTGCTCCTGAAGAGGGGTGACCCTGAAACTTACCACCAGGACAGAGGAGACCCAGGCGGCTCTCTCCTTGCTGCTCCTCAGCAGATCACACAGGGCCGGGGTGTCATGCTGTGCTTTGTGGGGTCACTAGCGGAGAGTGGGGAAGGAATCAGAGGGAGGACAGTGGGTTGGGAAAAAATCTTGGGGTGGTTGTAGCAGCCGGCCGTCCTGGCGGCTTTCTGCTGTCCTTCCTCACCTGTGCTTAAGCTGAAGATGACGCTGAAGGACCAGCTGTGTCCCTCACTGCACCCCCTAGCCTCAGCCTCTGAGCCTGACCCCTTTTGTGAGTTTTCAACCTCCTATTGTGTGGGTGTTTAACCCCCCCCTTTTCTTGCCCCCAACGACAGGGTGGAGTTCCAGAACAAGTTCTACACGGGGGCTGGTTACAAGTTCACGCCGTTCTCCTTTAAACACATCCTGGAGGGGCCTGGTGAGCAGTAGCACAGCCTGGTCTCTGCCAAAGAGAGAAGTTTGCTCTGGTCTTTCAGTCGCCTGGCAAGGTGGCCGGAGGATGGTTGTTCTTGGCCCACAGGAGGCAGGAAGTGTGTGTTTATAATGAGCCCTGGGATTTGATGGGACGCAGCCTGCCTCAGAGGAGGACTCGGCCAGTGATTCAGTCTCACGCGGAACCTTAGTTGTCAAACACAAAGTGATTGCCGGATGGGGTGGGGGTTGCTAAACCGGTGTTGTCTTGCGCCATTTTAAGTATTATATTTAAGAAAATAAACTTCTGGCGATTCGGTTTTTTCTTCATGATATCTTTATTCAAGGTTATTCTGCAAAATTAAGTGTCGATAGCACTAAACAGTAGAGTCACACGAGCTGACCACACAAGCTAATCTCAGAGAAGATTACGTGTCTTCTATTTCTTCATTTCCTCCTTCCTCAAAACGCCTTTTATTCTTGGCTGGGGCTGACCTTTATAGGATTAGGGACTTTCTCATGAATTTTTACTCCAGATGAGGAAGAGTGGATAATGGGCCATCCCCCTGCCCAGGGGGGTGCCCCGGGTGAGTCCTCTGGAATGAAGCCTGATGATGTGAATCACTGGGACTGTTTACTCTGAGGCACCGTGCTGCAGTGACTGGACCAGGCTGTGTGGACTTGGGCGAGTTCTGGGAAATGGCCCCAGAAAGGGGCCTTCGTGAAGCACCACCACACTGTGTACCCTCGTGTTCTCTGGGATCATGGGTCCCAAAGTCATTTTTTTTTTTCGTTTCTTTTTAAGATTTATTTATTTATGCATACAAGAACTGGGGCATAGGCCAGAGGTGTGGGAGGTGAGAGGATTCACCAGCGACACAGTAGGGAGCAGGACAGACAGCTAGATTGAAATCCACTGCTGAGGGGAGCAGCGGCGAGACAGGAGAGGTCTGCTGTGCCATGTGGGTCACTTCCTGGCCAGGGATCGAACTTGCGCTGCAGTGGCTGTGGAAAGCTTCACAGTGCTGCACTTTAAACTGTTTCACCACCAGGGAGTTCTAACCCCGAAGTCATTTCTTAGGACATCTGGACTGACAAACTGATAAAAGCCAGGTGCAGAATAATATTTGTTCCATCAACTGTTTTGTCTGAATGCCCTTAATCCAGATTGATTATCATTTCCATGGTAACGATCCTGGTAGAATTTCTATTTTACGCTGGCGTATGGTTTAACAGTTTAGGATATACTTTCACATAGAATCTACTGCTAAATAAGATTCCAGAGGAGCTGACCAAATTCAGTCACCTTCTGGACAGGTGTTTATTTTCCTGAGCTCCCACCTGATGGAGTGGTCAGACCCAAGGAAGCTTCCAGGTCTCTCCCCATCATTGTCACCCCTTGTCCTGCAGTTTGAGACACAGTTTAATAATCAGCCAACACTCATTTAGTGACTAAAACAGGTGGCACCTGAGGTGACTGTTGGCTTCAGAAGCAGACGGGCTTTGAGTTTAAGCTCCTGCTTGGGTAGGTGTCTCCTTGGCCAGGAACTGGGGTTGCTTACTTGTCAAAATGGTGAGTGCGCGCCCCTCTGGGTTGTGGGAAAGGGGGTTAAAGCCCCCGGCAACGGTGAGGTCTTCAGTCAGTGACTGAAACCGGGTGAGCTGATTTATAGGATTAGGGACTTTCTCATGAATTTATACCCTCATGAAGAGTATAACTGTCCATGGCTGCTGGACAGGCGGCCACTGGCCTTCTCAGTAACTCCCTAAACTCAGTGTTTTGTTTCCATGGGTCCCCAGATTGTTGCTCTTTTGTTTCAAAGTGACATTTATGAGAAAATGTTTCAAAGGGCAACACTCTCCTTTACTCCTCGCTGAGACCCTCACTCTTGCAGAAGTCCCCGGACCTTCCAAGAACAACCTAATCACTTTCCTCTGAGGCTTGGCAACTCTGTCTCAACCAGAGATGTAATTTCCCCTTTAACAAGGGATCAGTGAAGGCTGCTAAGGAGGTGTGACCCAAGTGTCACTCACTCGCCCCGGGACACAGGGTTGTTTCTTAAGGAACCCTGTTCTCAGGACTGAGCTGAAAGCAAACTTTCCATCTTGGGGAGGAAAGTTTAGAAGCCCCGGAAAAGCCGTCAGAGTCCAACCTGTGCGTGCGGCTTGGTGGTGACAAGGGGGAGTGACAGTCGCACCTGGAGAGCTTTCCAAGAAACAGAGGTAAGACATGGGGGTCTGAATTTTTTTTCCTGCCGGGGAGGTGTGAGGTGGGTGGAGGGTCTGACCATTCCTGCTTGGTCAAGGGCAAATACAGTATGAAAGATTCACTCTTTTTATTGATATTTCAAAACAAATCACTTTACACAACACAAACGTTCAGTTTTAGAAGTGGTCCAGGGGCTCAGATATTTTGGCTAAAAAATTCAATGTAGAGTAAAATGTCCATGCGTCCCTTAGAATTTGTTGGATTGAGGCGCGAACTTCCCTGAGCCTTGAATTTGCTAGGACATCCCCAGTGTCTTAGCGGATCTTACTCACGAAGAATAAAACTGTCCAAGGACCCCTGGACATTTTCAAGGTTCTCAGGCCAGTACTTCCCTTCCCCATCCCTGTGCAAACTTAATGTTTTGTTTTGATGGGTCCCTAGCACGGTTGTTCTTTTATTATTATATTATTTTTACCAGTTCTTAACCAGGTTTTTTGATGGTCAGCCCTGGGTTACTTCCCTGTTGTTAAGGAACTGATGGTGAAGGAAGCAGGGATCCTTCACCATCTTCTTTTCTATTTTTTTGTCAGTCTGATTGTCCATCTGTCCACTGATCCACCATCCATTCCTGCCACTGTCCACTTCCTACCCTAGAAAGGGTTGAGAATGGCCTGCGAGCACAGGAACAGACAGGCATCCCACAGTTGGGATTACAACTATCAAAGATGTTCTTTACTTCTATCTTTGAAACATTTTGTCCCTTGTGAAAACATTTTATGAATTCTGGGGCGGAAACTACAAATACTAAGGAAATACTTTCCATGCCTCCACTCCGAGTGAGTGCTTGAGAGTCATTAGGGACACTTGTCCGTGTGTTTCTTCCACCCTAAAGCAACTTCTGACAGTGGATTACCTGTGTGCTTACTTTCCAGTGGGTACAGTGCCAATTATACAAATATTGTTTCACCCAACCCTTATCCCACACTCGAGGAAATGTATTGCTTGACAGTTGCACATACTGTCTAGCTGAAATGCTTAGAGTGTTTGTAGTGGCCACAGCTACTCATTTCCTGCACTGTCCATCTCTCCTCCCACCACTGCACTGGCCTTCAAAAATACAAATTGCAAGTAGCAGAGAGCAGAAACAACACTGCTTTAAACAAGACAGAGCTTTGTTTTCTTACCCGCAGAAGCCACGACCGGAGGTAAGCAAGCCCAGCTGGGGTGTGCCACGTTCCTAGACTCTCCCAGACTCTCCGAGGCTTGTGCAGCTGGTTTAGGCCAACGTTTCTGTCTTTCCGCCTTCACATTTATTTCGCAACACAAGATGCCTGCAAAAGAACCAGCTGTAGGGTCCTTCAACGGGGTGGATGGTGTGGGGGGCGGGTGGAGAGGGCTTTCCCAGAAGGTCCCCCCAAAACATCCTCCACCTGCATCAGGGTGGCCACCGGCCTCAGCAAGGTACATGGAGGGATTGTTACCTGGAAGGCAGCAGGCTATTTCTCCCACAGGTTGTGGATATTATAATTTTTATTTTATTTTTAATTTTATAACAGTTTATTTTTACACCATTTTGTACATTTTTTTCTCCATCTCAATTGTAATCCCCGTGGGTTTCCCATCACCAAGTCATCCGTGTGCCATCACCATAATCCCGTGCATTTCCCTCCCCCCCCCCCGTTTTTGATCCCATTCCCCACTCCACCCCCACAAAATGTCTCTGGAATATGGTTGTTCATTATTTTTGTTATTTTCTCGCCTGGTCCATTATACTCCTGCTATGAGTGAAACCATCCGGTATTTTTCTTTCTCTTTCTGGCTTATCTCACTAAGCATGATCTTTTCCAGCTCCATCCAAGTTGCTGCAAAAGACATGTGTTTCTCTTTTGGTTACTGAGTAATATTCCATTGTATATATGTCCCACATCTTTTTAATCCAGTCATCTACTTTTGGGCATTTGGACTGCTTCCATGTTTTACCAATTGTAAATAAAGCAGCAATAAACATGGGGGTGCAAGTATCTTTTTCAATCAGTGTTTTTGTGTCTTTTGGGTAGACACGTAGGAGTGGGATTGCTGGGTTATTATAATTTTTAGATGAGGAAACTGAGATAGAAGAAAATCCGTTTAATCTCAGTCTCACTTTCACAACTGACTTCCTTTCTTCCACTCTCTCTCCACTTCCTCTCTCTTGCCTCCTTCCCTTTATGGTTGTCCCTTAGTGGGTAGACAGTGGTACCTAAAATGGTTCATTTCTGCAATTTTATCAGTAACTTGGAAACAATGTTTCTGTCCTAATATTACAGCTTATATATGTGAGTTACCTGTTAATATAATCTTTCTATTAACCCATTAGAATTTTAATTTTTCCTTTTAATTTATGGTTTATAGTGTCTATAAACATTTACTAGATATATGTGCACTTTTTCTTATTTTTTAATTTTTGAAATTGTGATAAAATACACATGACAAAATTCCCTATCATAGCATTTTATTTTTATTTATTTTTAGTCCATGTCTTTTGTTTACTTTTGTTTTCAAACTTAGTTGACTTTTTCTTATGTTTCTCTTACATATTTTTTTTAAAAAGGAGTGAGGAGTGTTTTCCTGCAAACTTTTTAATTTTCATATACAAGCTTGTTCCTGAATTGGAGAAAGGTTAACATTGAGCACAAGATCATTTGAAACCAGTCAGAAACAGAGCTGGAACTGAACTCAATTATTGTCACTTCCCTCTATTTTTTTAAAAATAGGCATCGCATATATATATATATATATATATATATATATATAATATAGACAAATGTTATAGATATTTATTTAATTAATTATGCATATAAGAGCTGGGATACAGAAGCAGGGAGTGAGAGAATTCACCAGAAACCGTGTGGGAAGCAGAACAGGCAGATCCACTGAAATACACTGCTGAGGGGAGCAGTGGGCAGGTCAGGAGAGGTCTGCTGCACCATGTGGGTCAGCTCCCTGGCCAGAGATCAAACTCCTGCTGCAGTGGCTGCTGATAGCTTCATAGTGCTGAGACTTAACCCCTCCCACTACCAGGGAGCCCCCTACATCTTTTTTTAATGGTACCATTTTT